AGTATATATGCATTCAAAAAGCACAAATACGGCCAGAAAAGGATAGGTTGAGGCAAATCACAGAGATGGCAATCCAGTCGAAACGCAATCAGAGACCGAGATAATGAAAAGACAGAATAGGTTTGAGAGAGGCTTTTATTAAAAGATTGGAAAAGTCAACGGGGCTTTCGAGGAAGTAAGCGGTCCGTTAGGACAGCCGAACCAGGAAAGGTAACTTCTCATAAGTCTGAGTGACTTCGGAGAGCAGGGGACGGATCAAGCGAGACTGGAGTGGTCAGCGTGTTGGGATTGGGACTTAAATAAAGGTAAGAAAAAGGCTGGAACAATAAAGAGTGAACAAAACTAGCAGGCCCTAAAGGTAAGGAAAACGTATAGCTGAGTCTGCAGAGCCTGTACCGCTGCATACTCAGTTACAAAAGAGTAGTTAGGGAGAGACTGACAAGTCAAGTGAAGCTAGATCACGGTAGGGCAGTAAAGCTGACCGTCCGATTAACCGAAGGAAGGAAAACAGAAAGCGAGAGAAGAAAAGGTTATGGTCGGGGTGAGAAGGGTTTTTTGATAAAGAGTGGAAAAACCCACGCCCCTCTCCATTTAATGTAAACAGAACCATTAGCACAGCCGAACCAAGCGAATTGATGTCTCAAAGTCCATATGCGTTCGGTGAGTACAAGGCCGACTAAGCGGGACTGGCTTAATCGGCGCTTTGGGATTAGGGTGTAAACTGAATATAAGAACAAGGCTATAACTATAAGGAGGGAACAAGTACGCTCACGAATGGCTGCCTTGGCTTTGATAAGGGGAAATACAAGGCACGGACTGGGACTTCCCCCATGGGTCCACATGCTTATTGCTCCAGGGTTGCGTCGAACACCAGCAGAAGGCAAAAATGATCGGTTGTGTCCATATGTTTGAGTTTGTGTACCACATTTTCGGCAGTAGTAACACTCATTGAGGCTCCATGTTCTCATGGGTCGAAATGCCGATGTCCGTTGGAAGCGTGACATAGGGCAGCCGGACGGCTGAGACGGTCTTCTGACTCATGCTGCCGCATAGTGTTTGCGACCGAGGACGATGGCTTCTTCCACAGACGATGGTGGGTCCCGGGCGTAAGCTTTGTAAGTTTCCTCCTTGGCAGCACCTTGAGTCAACCGCTCCAACATAAAAGCATTCCGAAGGGCGGGTGTCAGATTTCCGAAGGCACGCAAAGCCAGAGTACGGAGTGCAGTGACGTAGCCGTCAACCGTTTCATGCGTGCAGTGCGATCTGACCCAAACGTTATTCCTCGCACCGGGTTGAGCTGGTACGCCATGAAATAGTGAACCCAGTTTCGCACAAATCTCATCCACTGAGGAGGTGGCGGATATTCCGGAAGAAATTAAGGCATCCTGCACATTCGTTTCAAGATGGGACAGAATATATGGCCCGCCTGAGCTTGGAGGGACCGCGCTAAGGTACAGATGCATGCGCCACTTCCACGATGTTAGGTGTGTGCCGACAGCGAAACATCCTGGAGGAGTCTGTGGTGGCTAAGCAAAACATCGTTTTACTTTGGTTTAATAAAAGGCGGTTCGAAGTCGTCAGCGTGCATTTTTGGCTCCAGCTCCGTCACCAGAAATGTAGCGGGTAATAGTCGGTGGAAAGCCAGATGTATCCGTTAGCTGAAGGACAATAAGCATAACAACGCGATTAATCACTCAATCCGCAGACAACCACGGTGGGCGGGAGCCCCAGACGGAAGAACACGGTGGGCGATGAGCAGTGTGTACTTGCAGAACAGAAGTGAAGTCGTACGACACAGTCAAACAGGCTCCATATAGAGTATACAATCGGAGCGATAAACAGTTTATGGTCCAGGACTGTCTGTTCGTGGTTTGGTTAGCGCGGGAGGTCTCGGAATATGTCCATGAAAAATAAGTGAAAAAGTGAGAAGGAAGAGACTGTGGCTAAAGTGAGTGCAATGCCGCGGCAAAAGATATATATATAATCCTCGGTTGATGCTACTCACAGGGAATGGGGCTATTGCGCTAACAGTTTGGGTATTACATTGGGTTCTGGAGCTCGGCTGTTTGATTTCCTAAAAATGCCTGGTGGGGGAAGGACTTGTACTAGTAGGAGACTTCAGTAACCCAGTTGTCGACTGGGATTTGCTGCATTGTGCTACGGCTTCAAACGTTTCGCAGCGGACCTTTTGGTAACTGTTCTCCAGTGTAGCCTATTTCAACTTGATACTGTGCCTACATGTATATTTGTCGGACGATTCCCCAATATTCTGGAACTTGTGCTTTCCAAGGCGCCACCAGATGTCGCAGACATCACCACTCTTCCGCCTATTGGTAACAGCGTTCAGTGTATGGTTTCATTCCTTTGGACTCGACGCCTCACTCTTCACAACCAAGATAGTTTCGGCGGAAATTTCTGGCGTGCCGATCCAATCCGCCTGCAAGCGGCTGCCTGCGCTGTGGACTGGAATATCCCTCTATCTTGGGACCCACATGAGGAGTGGAAACTTTTGTACTGCAAGCTGATCTTTCTTGTTGAGCAGATTGTTCCCAGTTGCAAAATGCGAACATATACCAGAGGCCGTCCATGCATAGACCGAGACTTGAGGTGCTTTATGTCCAAAAGACGTAAATTATGGGACTGATACAATCTTACCCACTGCGCGCTTGACTATTCGGAGCACAAATTGATCAGAAACGACTGTAGGTGAATAAACATCAGAAACGGAATCAGTATGAACGCCGTTTGGCTATGCAATCCAGGATGACACCGAAGGCACTGTACTCTTACTTGAAAAGAAGGGCCAAGAGTGACAGTGGCATTCCTGTCCTGTATTTTGCAGAGCAGGGTGGTTTACTTGACGACGTTGGGACGAAAGCCAGTATACTAACCCTGCAATAATCATCAGTTTAATCGATCGCGACGCCATTACGCAGTGACACTGCGCCAATCCACCCGCTTTGTTGGAGTACACAGAAATGAATGTGGCACACGTTACTAATGGCCTTCGTGAGTTAGATCCGAACTCTTCGCCGGATCCTGATGGGCTGCACCTGCTATTCCTCAAGACCGTGGCGGACTACATTGCTGCTCCCTTCAGTGAGAAATTTCTTCACTCCCTGGAAGCTGGACGACACCCGGTTGCTTGGAAATTGGGGATCATTAAACCTAAATACAAGGGAGAGGATCGGCAAGGTCGTACAAGCTATCGACCTATCTGCCTAAAGTCCGTACTGTGCAAGTTAATGGAAGGGATTCGCAAGTGCGCCCTTCAGCTTCACTTCGAGAACCCTAACATAATCTGTTGTGCGCAGCATGGCTTTCGGCGGGCACGCTAATGTACCACGAACCTGCTGGTTGCTAGGGAAAACTGGGCGAAGTTTTTAGACGCTGGGCAAGCATTGGACGGGGTTTTTGTAGACTTCAGCAATGCGTTTGACAAGGTCCCCCATGAAAGGCTCTTTCTTAAACTCCGAGGTAACGTTGTCTCTGAGAATATCCTTCCTTGGGTCGCTGATTTTTTGAATGGTCGGGTCATGCGCTTCAAGCTGAATGAAGCCTGCTCCGCTCCTGTGCTCATGACAAGCGGTGTTCCGCAAGGGTTGGTGCTTGGTCCAGGGCTGTTCAAAATATTCATCGATGATCTCCCACCGGAGATTCAGAAGAATTGCCCACTTCACTCCGATGGCATGAAGCTGTGGATGAAGGTATCCTGACGTGAGGATGCTGACAGATTGCAAGCACCATTGGACATTCTACACGAGTGGTCGGTCAACTGGCACTTGCCCATAAATTGTGAAAAATGCTCAGTTCTCCCTATAGGCGCCCCTGAACCTTTCGGGATATACCGTATTGATGGGGCGTTACTCAGAACCACCGTGCTTGAAAAATCTCTCGGGGTGCTTGTCCCACATGATTAACGGACCGCAGCAGCCACGGTACGTAGGTTTGCCGCGGTCAACAGGATGTCACGTGCCATACGGAAAGACTTCTCGCGACTGTAGCCGGATATCTTCAGCTTCCTGTTTACTTCTCATGTGCGCCCGATCCTTGAATAAGGACTACCCGCCATCGGTCCAATTACCAGGTTCGAGTTTAGCATGATTGAGAAGGTCCAGCGGCGTGATTCGAAATCCATACTGGAGGTAAGGGACTTGCGTTACCTTCTTTACTACCGTGGATGCACCGGTGCTCCCTGGAATATCGTCGATGTAGGGGTGATCTGATTTTTACTAGGCTACTTATGATGGGGGAAGTGGGGATAGAGCTACAAGCGTCCTTTCAAGTCAACACTAATAGGTCCACACGGGACGCAAATGGAAACTATTAAAACCCAGAAGCCTTAGAGTTCGCTCTACTCTCGCTCTATCAACCCGCAGTGTAAATGACCGAACGACTTGTCGAAACAGGTGGTCGACGCGAATACTGAAGAATGTTTCAAGCCATTTTTGGATTCTCACTTGATGAGTAAGCTGGGACCTTTCTTTTTCAATGTAGCTGTTGTGGCTCCTTGTGGAATAACGTCTCGTAGCGACCCACGGCATCTACGCAATGAGTGGGAAGGGAAGGAGCTGACAAAGGACTTCCCCTCTGCTCCCTACAATCCAATGATCCAAAGATATTACATGAGAAGGAATACACGCAGACAAGAAAAATGGTTTAAAGACAACCGCATATGGAAACTACCATTTAGCATATGGAAACATATTAGAGAAAATATCTAAATTAATTTCCGTCAAGGAAACATATATATATATATATATATATATATATATATATCACTTCGCTTCGCAGCTGTAACTGTTTAGTATAGCCAACAATGTTCCTTTTCTTAAAATTAATTTTAGATCTTTTCTCTAATATGTTTCCATATGTTGGTTGCAGTTTCCATGTGCGGTTGCCTTTAAACCAATTTTCCTTTTTGCGTGTGTATTACATCTCATTTGGAATCCCGTCCATCTGAATCTGAATCTGAAAATCCGCTCTGTTAGCGCAATAACCCCATTCTCTGTGAGTAGCGTCGGCCGAGGATGATACTTTTGGAGGTTCATAGTCAAGCTGTGATGGACATTTTGATCAACCGGTTTGAAACAGCCAAAGAAGAGTAAGTTTACTGCTTGATGCAGGTTATTTTTTGAAGTCCGGAGTTAAAGGTGAAGCTCAATTATACCGTTGCAGACTTTGATTGCGTCACGTACCATATTAGCGATGGGGGTGAAAGGAGACGCATCTTCGTGAGCATTTTCCTTCGTTTCTTTGAAGAACTGAAGAAGCATGGTGTTGAACAGGTACTTTAATTTATATTATTCAACTGTACACTGGTTCGCGTACAACTTTGTTGCTACAGCACCCCAACTCACACTGATCGTTTTATACGTGAACTTCTAGTCTACACGTACAGCCATCTGCTGCGCTTTTTCCTTTACCTTTCTGTGTGCTCCTGTATTTTGTACGCATAGTCACTCGAGGGAGTTGGGGGAAGGATTAGGAAGATCATTAACGTCTGCACCGTGCGTGGAAACTGCTATCAGAACGTGATAATTCATTTTAAATGTTATAATACAAAGTCTTTAACGCCGTCCTCGCGGACACAGATGTAGCAGGCTGATTGTAAAAGCGTACTCAAACCGGCGGCTACTCAGATGATGGCGAGCGTGATTCCAACTCGAGACAACGTATGTACCAGGTCCTAACAACGGCGTACAGGCTAACCACGGCAGGCATCTTGGGCTATGTATGTGCATAACCTAACTTATTAGTTATGTAGTTATTTCACTGACGCATCATAATCGACTGGAGGAATTACCGTACGGTTGCCTTTACTTGCATTCCTTATATGAAGAGTTTGGTCTAGGTAAGGACGTTTCTCTGTACCCAGACCAAAAAGTTGTAACCTGATGCGGCAGCTGCAGGAGTGTTAATGCAACGAGACAGCAGCATTTTATTATGCTTGTTTCAAAAATGTCGAAAGCAAATTATTTGGAGCAGAACTGTCAGCATTACCCTGAGTGTGTTTGATTTATAGCAGATGGTTTAGTGGTTTTGAATTCGAACCGCGGGACAGTGCCTTGGTAAGTAAACACATGAGGACGAGACGATATCACCGTATGAATAGATGTTTAGATAACGACATTGGACAAAGAACACGTTTCGTAGCCCCAACACGTCTGCTTTTTGCGGTTTCACATTGCATTTGAGCGAGATATCTGAGAACACTACGTGCGGAAACGGAATCAGAGTCCCAGCCAACTTGACTATAGTAAACTGCATGATTAACTGGGTTACTGGTATTTCACCAGTGCTGGTGCTTGCATTGAGCGACTCTTCCAACATAGGGACAGAGACTAATTGATCGGTTTGTAGCGCTTGTAAACTACACTTTTCAATTGCACTTTGTTTCATCTTCCACTATTTATTGTACCGTTGTTTTAATTATCTGAACTGATATATACTTTTTCGAATTTCGTTCTGCGTTGGCACTTCGGTTCGCTGCGCGTGCGTTCGCGATTGTTCGGCGTCTGATGAGCGAAATCATTACTGACTCGGATTTTGTTTCTTATCGAGGCATACAACTAGTTTCGGTCACTTAAAATTAACCGAACTTCGAATTAACTATTTCCTAGCTTACTGAGCTTTTCGTTAGCCTTATTGCATAGTATTTTCCACTACATAACTGGTGACCCCATTTTAAATTTATTTTTTAATTTAAACTTCCTTTCCTTAAAAGCTTGAGCTCCCATTTTTCCGTTTTCTCGTCTAAAATGTCCGACATACTTTCGCCTTTTGCTTCCGAAAATCTTTGGGTTTCTCAGCTCCTCTATTCGACGTTTCCAACTCATATTTAGTTTTTACAGTTGGAATCACATTCAATGCCGCCGTATCACTTCCCAGTTTACCATGTCTTCTCACGTTGCCTCAAATCCGCTTACGCATATTGCTATCGATGTCACTGATTTACTCGCCCATATCCAACTCGACGCACCTTATGCTATACTTAAATCTGCCATATTGAATCGCTCCGCAGTTTCCGACGAAGCCAGGCTTCAGCAACTACCGCCAGGTGTGGAACTTGGCAATCTCACGTCACCACAGCTTCTGCGGTACATGCGTTCTCTTGCTGGATCCGCGAAAATTAACGACGGCATCTTGCTTCAACTATGGACCAAATGTCTTCCATCCACCACCACTGCTATTCTCGCTGTTTCCGCTGATGAAGTCTCTTTAGACAACCTGACAGAGACTGCCGATAGAATCCATGAGTGTTTCTTCAAACAACCTGCTGTTCCTGCGGGACTCTCCTTCAACTAGGTCTCTTGGGAACGACCCTTTGAGTCACTGTCGCCGCTAATCGAAGCTCGAATGAAGCTTTCACTGGTTGAATGTTGAATGACGCGCAGCCAAATGATCCCGAAAGCAAAACAAATTTGCATCTCAATATATGCGGTACTCATAAAATACATACAGTTGAGTAAAGCGGAGCAAACGTCAAATGTTTAGGGTCCCGGTGTATCACCGCCAACAACAATGCAAGTAAATGACGACCAAGGAGAAAGGGCGCTGTCAATTTTACAGCTCCGATCAGATCGCTAGAGGACAAGTAAAGTGACCGTATTTTAGTGGCACTTTATGAAAAGTCGTTGGACCAATCATAAAGCGCGCAAAGTTTATCGATGAACGTCAGGCACACACATACATGCCTGTGGTCTGTGGTCAACGGGTGGCCTGATAATCGCTTAGCATGCGTCCACCTTAGTACAGTGTCATGTACACGGCGATATCAGATATAGTGAGTTGAAGAAAGATTACGGTGGAGACAAACAAATGAGGGAGTGAACGGGTAAACCACCGGACAAGGATTGGAATTCATGGAGATCTGAACAGTTGCTAAGGCAAGCATATGGTATTTGGATAAGTGGTGGACCACTTGACGAAGGGTATATGGAGCTAACCGGCGGAGGGGGTGACGTCTGGTGAACAAACATCCGAGTTATATGAGGGCATCGACCAGCTTGTACGAGTAGCCATCACAACAACGATGAAACATCGTTTGCAGGGACCATAAGGTGCAGCACAAATGACGAATAAGATCACGTTTTAGAAGGGTTTTTCAATCGCTGCAAAACCCCGCTGCACCTTTCTCCAGAATTCCTCTTGAATGACTACCACCACTCTGGCTCTAACCCTATAACGTTACTTTTCGTGCGCTCACAGCTGCTAGGGGCTTGGAAAAGCTTACACCACCAAGGGTCAGCAGCGAAAGAAGCCGTTTTCCACGACTCCTAACCCTTGCCCCTCTTTGGCGTCTCCTTTGTCATGGGTGCGTTTAGATGAAAGCCGCTTTCCATGACTACTACCCTACACTCACAACGAGACTGAAAAGCTGCTATCCATCGCCCTTTAGACGGCATAACCGTCTAATGTCCCTTCTCACTACTCCTGAGACCGTCTTGACGAAAACTCCGTACTAATCCGTCGGCGCTAGTCTCACAATCAACTATACGATCTATAGGCCAGCGTCCCCGAGGCACCTTTCCTGACACGATTAAATCTGCGTCACCGACGGGTAACTTCTTTTTCAGATGTAACCATTTTTGGCGTACTTGCAAGGTTGTGAGGTATTCTCTCAGTCATCTTTGCCAAAATATGGTAGCGATGTAGTTCATCTCTTTCCACCGTTTGTCATACCTTTCCCTACTGTCAAGCGGGAAGTTCTAATACCTCTTGCCGAATCATCGGAAGACTGTTCGGCGTCAGAGGGGGCTCGTCGCTACTATCGTTCGTCGGCGCTATTAAGCGACGACTGTTCAATATTCTTTCGACTTCAACAAACATGGTAGCGAGTGAGTCATCAGAGGGGGTATTGCTGGTTACATACACTATTCAACACTTCTTATAGAACGATTATCCTTTCGCATGTACCTCCTCGATGACTAGAAGTGGGTGGGTTGAAATGCCTTTGCACCCCGCGCTCGAGCAATTTGCGATTGATTGTCCACTGATCCCACCTTTGGAGGCATCCCCTTAGTTCATTCACTGCTCCGACGAAGTTCGTTCCGTTGTCACTATAGATATCGCTTGTGCATCCTCGTCTGCCAACGAACCGGATAAGTACTGTAACGAATGCATCCGTTTAAAGGTTATGGCTCACTTCGACGTGAACGGCCCTGGTTCGCAGACAGGTAAATGTGCAACCGTAACATTTTCCCGTCCGCCGACCACATTTCATGTAATCAGGCCCCGAAATAATCCACGCCAGTATACTTGAAGTGAAACCACCCTTTCTCTGCTCTGGTTAGTGGAAACGGGGAGATCTGTTGTTAGTACAGAGGTGCGGTCAACCTACGACACTCTACACATCTCCCGATGGCCGTTTTCACGGCGCTGCCACCATGCACAGTCCAATACCTTGTACATATGACGCTCAAAACGTGAGAAGCTCCGCTATGTCATTCCATTCCGTGGTAGATGTGTATGATCATGTCCACCACGGGGTGTCTATTCGGTAGTATGGCGGAATGTTTCATGTCCTCACTGTAATCACTATACCCCGGATGTCCACCAACGCAAATGATATCTTCATGTAACACTGGATAGAGATGTTAAAGCGGACACTTCATTTGACTGGGTTTGGATGCAGCCCTCTGTGTTCGTAAACTCTCGAGTTCACCTGCGTAAACCTCGGACTATAGCATACGAACGACATCCCGCTTGGCATTTTTCAATTCGCTGACTAGAAGCGAACTCACGGGACATAGTGAGACGTGCGGAACGAGCGCGATGTCTATCCAAACTAAACCTCATAAGCCATGCAACGGCTCTAGTCAGTCTAATCCAATCAGAAAACTGTTCCAGTAACGGGTTGGTATTCTTCACCATCGTTTGCGCGTTTATGATGGGGCGAGTGCTTTCAACTCGAGGTTTAGTTGTGAGCTGGGCAGAGAGCATCCGGTCCGCCAATATCGTTTATTACATTTCATAAACTCGGGACGTAGAAGCCAAGCTTCCCATTCTCTTGGATCCTGGATATTACGTGAGGCCAAGTCGGCCGAGTTATCTTTTGACCGTACGTGATTCCACTGTGAGGGTGAAAACATCTAATGTATGGTTGTGACGCGATTGTTGACATAAGTGCTGAATCTTGTCACCGTGTTACTCATGTAATGTAACACCGTCTGGGGGTCCGTCCAGAGCTCAGTGTCCCGAGGGTCGACGCGGAGTCCCTCTGCCACTAACTGGTTGACTTGCACTGCAAGCACCGCCGCTGTGAGCTCCAAACGTGGTATTGCAC